GCTACAGGACCAAGTAAATGTTTGATTTCCAAGGGAAAGGAAATATCTTTGAAGGTAAAAAGAAAAATTCATATAAAGAAAGGCTATATTAGATTCAAGATGGTGGGTTACAGAGTACACAACTGAGGACCAGATAGAAAAAAAGATGTAGACCAAAAAAGGAATAAGCATTACTTCTTACCCACCATAAAATATCTGTCACCATAAAATACTTGCTTTCAACCTACTATATGACTTAATACAAGTTGCAGCCCAGTACTTAAGAAGGAGGGTAGAGGTGCTTGTTTGTTAATTCAAAATAACTTCAAGCTTTTACAAATCTAGCTGACCAATTCACAGTGGTCTGTAACATCAAAGACACTTGCCAATCTTCTTTTTTCCCCTGTGTCAGGAATCAAACTCAGGACCTCATGCTTGCCAGCCAGGCAGGCACTGCACCACTGACCTATATCCCTGGTCCTGTCAATCTTTTTTGTTGTTTGTTTGTTTGAGGGTCTCGCTTTGTAGTGAAGATTGGTCTTGACCTCACTGTGTAGCCCAGACTGGCCTCAAACTCATTGAGATCATCCTGCTTCAGTCTGCCAATGCTGGGATTACAGGGTACATCACCATACCTGGCACTGTTGATCATTTTATACTACGAACTCTATACTACATATTCAAAGGACATTCTGATTAGTATTCAACATGTAAGAACAACCAATATACTACTATAAATTGAAAAATTAAGAATTTATGTAAAAAAAAAATTCTTTCGTCTTTATATATGATTTCACTTGGCTAATATAAAAAAGAGTGCTTTCAAAACACATATTTACAAGAGCCAGGCGTGATGGCTCACGCCTGTAATCGGAGCACTCTGGAGGCTGAGGCAGGAGGATCATTTCGAGTTTGAGACCAGCATAGGCCACAAAATGAGCTCAAGACAGCCTAAACTGCATATGGAGACCCTGTCTCAAAAAGAAAAAAAAAAAAAAAAAAGTATTTACAACTATTAATTTGGAGGCAAATATTTTCAATTTCTATTCAAAAACTTTAAATATGGCTGGGGATGGAGCTCAGTAGTAGAGCAGGTACCTATACACATGTGAGCCCCTGGCTTCAATCTTCAGTACCACAAAGGGAAATTTTTTTAAAACTTTGTATTTTTACCCACATTTCCTTACTCTTTCAGGGATGGAAGGGTACACAGGGCTAGCTGAGGCAGACAAAAAGGTGCTACTTTGCTAAAGAATTAAGCTAATAAATTACAACTTAAAGCTGTACACCTAACATTCATCAGTTTCAATTTAAAAACTTAGTATCTGGCACCATAAAAGCAGGACAGAAGATAAAGAAAGACAGAAGATATAACTGATACTTTTAGCTTTCTGGCTGTCCACCTTTTTTTTTTTTTTTTTTTTTTTTTGTCTTTTTCTTTTTTTATCGGTACCGGGATTGAACTCACAACCACACACTTACAAGGTAGGCGCTTATACCGCTGAGCTAAATCCCCAGCCCTAGCTGTCCACTTTTACATCTGTCATTTCCCTAATCAAAGAAGAGATTACTTCTTTTTTTTTTTTTTTTAATCGGTACCGGGGATCGAATTCACGATTGCCTGCTTGCAAGGCAGGCGCTTATGCCGCTGAGCTAAATCTCCAGCCCCGGAAGAGATTACTTCTAAAACTAGGAACAGTCATTTAACCATAATACTGTCTAGATGCAGTATCAGTAAATTACAAGAATTTTATTTTACCCATTTAGAAATAAAGATTTGACGTCAAAATGTCAAGATGAACAAAATAAATAATAACTTAAAAAGTCAAAATGGAACAGGACCAGTTCTTTTAAGTGTGTCTACCAGACCAACTGTAACAAGCTGCTAAGCAATACTTATCAGATGTCTGTAACCAACAGTGGCTAGTAATGCGCTTCTACTCCAATTACAGCAAAAGTTAAAAGACCAACCAAAACACCAATTTGGCCCCATAATCCTATTTGCCATCTTTAGACATGAGCAAGCTCCCTGAGGACTGAAGTGGTTCAGCATACCTGTCTTGGGGGCAGTAAAATCTTGAATCCTTTAGATACAATGAAACAAGTAGAGACAATATGTGAAAAACTCAAAACTTTTAGAAATAGTTGAAATAATTAAGATTCTTACATAAGTCTCTCTCAGTGCATGCAGTGCTTTTCTCCCCTCAACAAAGGTATAAACTCCTCTAATTATGCTTAACAAATTATCAAAATAAACATATGGGATACTTGAGAAAAAAGTTTACTATGTCATGTAACCTCTCTGTGCCTCAGCATACTCGCTAAAAAGAGACATCTCCAATTTAAGATGAACTCAAAATTTAATTAAACATTATTTCTATAATAAATGATATAGGTAAGTATCTCATGTTAAAACCCTCAAAAGTCAGCACTTTTGCATCTCGAAGTCAATGGGCTTTGACCATTTAAAAGAAAAATGTGAATAATTTGTCTATATGCCTTTCTCTTAATTATAACATTACGAATACAGAAAAAAGGCGTTCTAAAAATGTATGTCTTGGCCAGGCATTGGTGGCTCATGCCTGTAATCCCAGCAAGCGAGAGGCTGAGGCAGGAGGATCCTTTCGAGTTCAAGACCAGCATAGGCTACAAAGTGAGCTCAAGGCCAGCCTGAACTGCAAGAGAGACCCTGTCTCAGAAGACAAAAAAAACACTTAAAAACTGAAAGACATATATACATGTATATAAAAAAAGACAGTTAAGATAGTTATACTACTGGGCCAGGTATTTAGCTCAGTGGCTCAAGCACTTGCCTGGGAAGCCTCAAGGTCATGAGTTTGATCCCCAGTACCAAAAAAAAAGAGACAGTTATACTATTGATTTCTCTGAGTTCACTGAAGAGAAAGATTTGTGCTGATACTGTTTGGACAACTGAATGCAGATGTCGTGTGCTCTGGGTGAATGATTTAGGAGTGACAATATGCAATGTATATATCATTGTTACCCCCTGATAGACGAACTTTGAAATTTTGTGGGGCGTTTTGCTTTCTCTTTGAAATAAAATGAATTAAAAAAAAAAAAACAGCACATGAAATACAGTTCTACTTATTAAAAAAAAAAAGCCTAACTTTTAACAGATGGTAATGAGTTTGAATCCATAATATACAAAGCCAACACAAAGCCTAAGTTCTTTTAACCCTGGGACAGAAAGAAACTTTGTGAGTTACTACTGGACATATAAACAATCATTCCCCTTTTAAAATTTAGAAAACTATCTTTCTCATATGGCAAATAAGTCTAGAGATCAACAGGTACAAAATGAAATTTATTTAATTTTTTTTAAATTGGGAACTATCATGATGTGAACCCTTCAAATTGCTTCATTTAGATCATGCTATTTACCAGGTTCTGCTTTGGGGTTCTGTGTGCCCTTTAAATTCTTTTTCTTAAGTTACACAGAGAAAGTCTTTTTTATCAAGTTTTAAATCAAATGCTCTATCAATAACGCAATCTATTTTTGCAATCTATTTTACAGGGAAACGCTTCAAACAATGGTTTACATGCCTTTAGGTCTGGACGCTGGATGAATGAAACAACTCTGTCAGGTGTCTCAACAGCTCTGTAATTCTACTTTATCTATGCAGCTTCTTCTCACCTTTATCTGCCTATTCCCAAATATCTTTCAGACAGGTCAGAGAGACTATGAGTTCTGAAACAAAATGTTTATGGATCAAAAGAAAGAGGAGTCCTTCCCCCTAACTTTCAGATCTCACAATCAGTTTTAAGATATAAACAAAACAGATTGACTCAATCTTCAACAATCCCTAATTTCAGGAAACCTGCCATAGCACCACAGCTGCAAAATGCATCCTTTTAAACACCAAACTCCCTGCTACCTAAGGCAGCCCAAAATTAAACCAATTCTCACTGATAAGAGGCTATGTGCATTCATTCTGATCAGCCCAGGATTTAGCGTGTGAAACGCGGGGGATAAAAAGTCATCTCCCTAAACTATAAAACTTTTTTCCCCAACCAAATGTTCTCAAGTTCTCCTGTCATTCTAGAGGCCAGAGTCAAAAACGACAAAACACTAGCAGAATTATAGGCTCTAGGATCACATCCCAGATGTCTTTGCATTATGTTGACAATAACTCAGATGTAGCTTGCCACTATCCTTTCCCCCCTTCTCCTTACTCCCCAATACTCACACTCAAGAAAGAATTCACATCCTCAGAACACTGGCTAGAGGAGGTGGGGGAGGGGTACTGCAATTCTACAGGAAGGAAAAGGTGGGAAATACTTCAGCACCCCGATTCTACTGCAAACAGCTTTGTAAAAGACAGTCTTGTAACATTAAGATTTGGGGGATGCCCGTGTGGGGCACAAAAAAGATGTGCAGTGTGCGTGCTCTTGGAGCTCTCAAGGGCTGGCTGAGACCGTGGAGCAGAAAGTAAGAAAACCTGTGCTTTCCCAGCTTTCTTCTGCTCTTCCCCCTCCGAGAGAGGAAGCTAAAGAAACTGGGGGAGGGGAGGGATGTTACCGTCCTCCAGCTGGAGGTACACAACACAGGCCTTAGGGTTCCTGCAGGCATTCACTCCGGGGTAGGAGGGTCGCGGAGGGAAGAGGAAGGGAAAAACCCTCCATATTAGCCACCTCCGTTCAAAAAGAAAAAAAGCAAGGGGGAATGATTAAATCCAGATGGAGCGTCCCTGAAAGCGCCCCCAGGTCACTCGTACCCATTAGCAAGCGGAAGGGCTGGGATAAAAGGGGATGGAGGCTTGGTCAGGGAAAAGGCTCCACCCCCCCCCCCGATTTAGGAGGGAAGGGGAGCCCCGGAGCTCGGCCGCCCCCTACTTCCCCGCGCCTCCCCCACGGCCACCCCCACGAGCCCCCCTGCCCCACCCTGCCCTCCTGTCGCCCGGGGGCCCGCGGCGGCCGCGGGGACACAGCGGCTACTTCCTCCCCTCACCCACTCCGTCCCCACTCCCACCACTCCCACCTCCGGCCGGCCGGCCCGTTACCTGCTCGTCGAAGCGGCTGACCACGGCCTGGACCCATTCCACCGGCCTGTGCGCGGCCATGTCCTCCCCGCGGCCGGGGGGCGGCGGAGGGACGGGGCGGCGGGCGCCCAGGGCCGGGAAGAGGGCGGGGAGCGGGGGCTGAGGTGAGGGAAGGGGCGAGCGAGGCTCTGAGGAGTGCGGGCTCCGAACGTTCCCACGGGGGTGGGGATGGGGACTGTGCGCCCAGCGGGTGGGGAGAGGGGAAGGGGGCGTTGGCGAGGAGGCCGGGGGAAGGGGGACGGGGGAGAGGGACCCGGGGAGGGGAGGGGGCCTCTTGCTCGCTCTCCCCCCTAGCGCGGTCTCCCCTCAGCCATCACAGTCCGAGACGCCGCCATGACACCCCACCGGAAGTGGGATCCTTTCCACGGCCCGGGGAGAGGGAGAGGGAGAGCGAACCAGCTAGAGATTTGCGAGCGCGGCTGGGAAAGGGGAGGGGGGAGCGAGCGGGAAGGGGCCTGTCGCGCATGCGCCCGCGCCGGCCGGTTTCATTAATGAAAAAGCGAGTCCTCCTGAAGGTGACGTCACCTAACTCCTCCGGGCCGGCGGGCGCAAGTCCCTCTGAGCCGCGGGGCTCACCTAGACTGGGGCTAGGCTCCCACCGGGAGAGTCTGAGCTGACCCCGAAGCTCCAGCTTCTGTCCCCACCGCCGTCTCGAGCTGCCCCTCCCCCGCTGACGTTCGGGTTTGGATTGCTCCCGGGGTGGGAAGTTAGGGCGTCCTGGGGCTAGCTTTCCTCCCCGGCCACAGATCTCTGCGGCTGATCTCTTGGGGCAGCTGTGCTTTGCTCCTTAACTCACACAAAATAAGGCACACGGCCTCCGGTTTCCATGTCCTTCGTATCTTCTACAGACTGCCGAGAAACAGGAAAAAGGAAGGCCAAGAGAGAGTCTGTGATTTTTTTTTTTTTTTTTCTTTTTTAAGGTCGCTTAAGTTCCTAAGTTAGACGAGTGGTAATCAAGTACTCAGACTGCAGAGTTCCAGCCCTAACTTTCGGTCCTAAACTGAAAGGCTCCCAAATTAAGGAAACTTCTGTACTGTTGTTAACAGGAAAAGTTTAACAGCCCTCAAAAAGCCTGTTAAGGGGCTCGCATTCTCATTCAGCACATTCAATAATCTCAACTGTGCAACAAGCTTTATCTTCATCTAACTGATGAATAGGTTACAGGAGGTTCTGTGATTGGCCCCAGGTCACAGAGTTAATAGGTGTTGAGTCAGGATACAAACCCAGGCAGCTGTCTTGTCCCAAGACAATAGAGACTGGTTTTCAGGAAACAAGGCCTTCCCTATGCACAATAACAAATTAAAAGGACTTTGGATTGGCTTGTGCGTTTTTCCAGGATCAGAGTAATACTCAAAACGCAGGATGGTCTATCTATATCTGACACTGAACTTTTGAGTGAACTATTTTTAAGTTTATTTTTCTCATACATTTTACTAAGGCTAATGTTAAATGCATTGACATATTCTAAGCACATGAAGCAGTAATCAAATGATTAGTCCATACAGAAAGATCCTAACTGGTTGATAAGGTAAAACAGACCACTGCTTTCATTTTACCACAGAAAATCCACAAAACCAATGTACAAAGAGACGTATCTATAAGAGAAGTTTCCAGTCTGTGTAAGTTGGTGATTGTCCAAAATACATATTGTTTCATTCCACTAGAACAACAGAATTTGGGTATTTCCTTGGTGCCTTCCAAAAGGATGCAGCACTGATACTAATTTCTTTTTGATGATGTCATATGGGATGACAAGCAAATAGAAATAGACGAATATTACAAATGTTCCTCTATGCTTTCCCCGATTAGAACTCCTGAAAAAGCACTACCTTGATCCCCAAAAAGTGTTCCAATATCAGTACCTCACCACTAAATTTCTGGACCCTCAACTTTCCTTTCTCTTTCTCATACTGCCTCTGGAACTCTCTATTTCCTTGTTGCCCTGGCTTTTTTCTTGTCTATTCTCCTCTTCTTGCAGTAGTTGCAATTGGATCTCCTGGCTCCCTGGCCTCCATCTGGCATTCCATTGCTGAGGTCTGCTGTGCCTTTTTCTTCTTGTCTGGTTTTTTCCACAATTCCCCATTCTTCACTACCTCTAGAGTAAGACACCCAAACCATAGATTGATCCTGAGTTCTCCTTCCTGTACTTAGGCTTCTGCTAGAAGGTCACTAATTCATTCTGGTCTTTACTCGCTGTCCAGTGTCCCCCTTTTACACCTTATATACCAGACCTCTCACTACAATCGGAGGTCTCAATTTCACCCCACCTTCTCCAATAAAATCGTTCAGTCCTAATGAGGATCCCAGCAGCTATTACAGACCATACACTGATAGGCAGTGCCTAGTCATATGGCAGGAATTCTAAACCAAAATGCCAAAGAAGGTAAACTAAGCAGCATCTGCCTCTACCCCTTTTAAAAGGTCAGCTGTCAGCTCCAGTGATTATTGCTGTGCAGAAACCAGTGTTGACCCAGTACTGCTAGATCTGCTTACTAAAGAGAAGCTAGAGGTTCAAAGTTATGTATAAATTCACCCAAATTTTACATACTGGCAGCCAGTTCACATTTTTGAACAACCTTGTGCAGCCAAACCAAACACATCTATTGTCTGAATTTAGTCCTTGCAAACTAATTTGACTGGCTGTAGTGTATTGGCAAGGCGAGAGCTTCTGCTGAGCAGATGAATCCTGACTTCGGAGAAGTTGCACATTAACTTCTGTTCTTCACTGTCCAGTATGAGTATTAGGGACTCACAAATGTTTGGTGTACATTTAAATGCCCTTCTCATTCATCTTCATTTCCTCAGGCAAAAGTGTCTGCCAGTGTTCTTTTTCCTGGTAGAAGCATTTCTTCTCCCCAACCCACCACACACCATCTCCACCTCAGTGTATCAGAAAATGCATGGTTCTTTGGGAAGAAGTACTGATTTCCCCAGTTACTGGGTGTGTTCAACTGAGTCCCTCTCGAGGAACTGCCCTCAGTACTAAAGAGTACTGGCCTCACACCAGGTCACACCGCTCCCCAAGAGAACAAGCACAACTAACTAGTACATGTAGGCTGAGGTGGCTCCAATCTATCTTAAGGGATTAGCCCTCAAGGAACGGATCCGCTGAAACTTGTGCTGTGACTACCTTGAGTTCAACCTCTCTTTCTCCTCAGTCCTACTCTTTTTTACCCTACACAGTGTAGATTCAAAGGGTGCCAGGTCCCATGGGTGGGATCTGATCAGTGAAGTGAGTCAAGCCCTGGCCACCTGGAAACAAGGCATCCAGGAGAAACTCTGATAGGCCTGGCTGTGCTGGAGCAGTGCAGCACCAAAGCTTTCAGCAGCAGTAGAGGGGTAGATGTGTGGTAGGTGCAGGGCAGTTAGAAAACATGGGGAGAAGGCCGGGCATGGTGGTACATTCCTGTAATCCTAGCACCCTAGAGGCTGAGGCAAGAGGATCTCCACAAATCCAAGGCCAGCCTAGCCTACATAATGAGTTCAAGGCCACCCTGAACTATGTACCAAGACCCTGTCTCAAAGCAACAAAAGAAGAGAAAGAAAGAAAGCAATTTAAGAAAAATTAATTGAATTTGATGGAGTAAATCTTGAAAAAAGGCCATGAAAGATTGAAAGTGATTAATCATTAATCAAAGGATAAGGATGAAAACCAGAGTGTGCCTCCATAGCGGGGGGGGGGGGGGCCTAGAAAAGCAGAAAAAGCCAGAAGTCCACCCCAGTGCTTTATTATAAGAGCAGTGGAACTACAAAAATATTCTTGGGGGGGCGGGGACCTGGGGATTTAGCTCAGCGGCATAAGCACCTGCCTTGCAAGCAGGTAGTCGTGAGTTTGATCCCCGGTACCGATAAAAATGAAAAAGACAAAAATATATATATATATATATTCTTAGCCCCAGCAAGTTTGCTATGCCAAGATCAGAGCCATAATTGGGGAGACATTTTTTTTTTTTTTTTTTGGTAGTGGTGCTGGGGATTTAATCCAGAGCCTTCCCACTGAACTATTGAGTTATACACACACACACACACACACACACACACATGCATAAGTCAGTCAGGAGTGGGTGGTTTTGAGCCCCTAGGATACTTTGGGGGGAAAGGGAGGAAGGAGAGAGCTACATAGAGCTAAGATTTTTGTGGAGGGGAGAGGAGTAGGGTTGTGCAGATCAAACCAAGGGGTATTCTCCTACTGAGTTACATTTGCAGGTCCTCCTCCCCTACCCCGGCTTATAGTTTTGTTTTGAAAATAAAGTCTGCCTAAATTACTCAGGCAGGACTCAAATTTGTGATCTTCCTAGCTCAGCCTCTTCTCTAGGCACTGGGATTATAGGTCACCACCATGCCTGGCTCTGGGTTTATTGATACAAGCACATTCCCTATTCTATAGTCTTCGCATCCTGGCAAGACCACAGAAGATAGGATGGTTCCAGGAAGCTGAGAGGAAGCAAAGGCCCACAACATGCTGGCTGGCTAACAATGGAAGAAGAGAGCAAAACCTCAGAAGTGGGATGCTACCGTGGACATACTGTACTATGCACCTCCCACCAGCTGACTGTAGTCTGCCATTCATTGCAAGCAATTAGAATGTGCTAGTGAGAGACACAAACAGCATGGAGAAGCTCAGTGGTGTTTCTCCTCTGCCAACCAGGGCTGGTGGTAGATGATGCTATCAAGCTGGACTCTTAGGTTAGCTATGGGCCTGATAGAATGCTGGAGAAATAGAGGCCAAGTGACAGTGTGTGACCATTGGAGGCAGAATTAATTGGCATTGTTATAAATGGCAAGATTAGAGTAGCAGCTTAGAAGTCCTGACCCACCTATAGCTGTGGAGATTGTTCATAGGAGAAACATAGATGGGCAGCCAATAAGGATGCAATGTGTACTTTTTTTGTCTTTTTCGTTTTTATCGGTACCGGGGATCGAACTCACAACTGCCTGCTTTCAAGGCAGGTGCTTATGCCGCTGAGCTAAATCCCCAGGCCCCGCAATGTGTACTTTAAACCTAAGATTGACAGAGAGCCTGGTGACACATCCCTGTAATCCCAGCACTTGGTAGAGTGAGGCAGGAGAATTGAGTTCAAGGGCAGCCTTGGCTACGTAGAGAGTTCAAAGCCAGCCTGAACTACATGGTAAGACCCTGTCTCAAAAACAAAACAACAACAAAAACGAACACACACACACACACACACACACAAAAAAAAAAGAGTTGGAGCCCAGGATACAGCTCAGCGGCACGGAGCCTGCCTGGCAAGTGCAAGGTCATCAGTTCAATTTCTGGTACCCCCCCCCCCAAAAGAGTGCAATGACCATGCCTATAAACATAGCATTTTGAAAGACTGAGGCAGAAGGATTGCAATTTGAGCACAGCCTGGACAATTTAGCATGACCCAGAGCCTTCCCACTGAAC